TCGTTGGAAATTTGTTTTTTTTTCTCTTCTCTTCTCTCTATGTGTGTGTGTTTTCTTATTTTCCGGTTGCGCTGCTGTAGATTATCATGGATACACATCAAGCCAAACAAACACTTGCTGATATTGAAGCCCGGCACGCCGATATTATCAAATTGGAAAATTCGATAAGAGAATTGCACGATATGTTCATGGATATGGCTATTTTGGTCGAGAGTCAGGTAATGTTCTACTTTCTATGCTTGTTTTGGTGTCATTTCTCTGCGTGCAAAAAAAAAACCATCCACCCGACACATATATACATTTTGTTTGAAACTTTGATTGAAAAAAAGCGAGAGAAAAAGCATAATCGAACCGATAGAAATCAATGGAATAAAGTCATTTTATGTGGAATATTGCGCACTGGGATAGAACGCAGTCATGTGCATTTGCAGCAAACACACAAACACACATAAACTGATTTTATCATCAATGATTCAATTTCAATTAATTTCCAGACTAAAATCCGATTTGAACATTTATTTCATATTTCGTTTTCTTATTCTTCTTCTTTTTTTCTTCTTCTTCTACTACTACTTTTGGTACCGATACATTTTCAATTCGCACTTTTAAATCACACACAAAATAAACAAAACAAAATTTGTGCAGGGTGAAATGATTGATCGCATAGAATACCATGTTGAACATGCGGTCGATTATGTTCAAACAGCAACGCAAGATACCAAAAAAGCGTTCGAATTTGAGACTAAAGCTCGTCGGGTGAGTAAATTTACTTCGCAAACCATAGTAATCGAATTGTGTTTTTTTCTTTTCTTTTTTTTGTTTTTTTTTTTTTCCACGTCCCATGTGTATTTGTTCGAACCCGTATCAATTGTCCAACATCCTCATCCTCAACCTCCTGCCCTTCGACCAAAACCAAAAATGTTATCGTAAAATGTTGTTGAATTGGATCCATTCTGTTTTACGTCAACATCTATTGCATATTTTTAGCACTACATGAAATGTAGAGCTACTAATCTGCTTTTTTAATTCTAGATACTTTTTGAGTGATGAAACGAATTATGGTGAATTTGAATTTTATGCTCATATTTTTTATTTAATTTAAAACACGTGCACTAACGACAAATAAGTGCATAATATCTCAAAGCGCCAATCAAATTTTTATTATCTAATGTTGTTTAAAAATCACATTAATTTTTCGTATAGTATTTTTCTGAGTCTTGAACAGAATTAAAGTGATTTTAGCAGAGATTACTATGAGATATTTTTATTCATATGGGATAGAAATATCGCATAAAAATATCAGATATTTTTCATGCGTTGCGTTGTTGTAACGCATCTGCAGTACAAAATTCATATTTCTTTCTGCGTGCCAAGTAAATTTTGCTGAATTCGGCTCGGATCAGTCTCAAATTCGACTTGGCTCCCAGGAGGGAATATGAATTTTGTACTGCAGATGCGTTACAACAACGCAACGCATGAAAAATATCTCATAGTAATCTCTGGATTTTAGATTCTATGTTCATATTATTTATTTAATTTAAACCAAAGGCAGTGTATTTCAAAAAAGAAATAAAATCAAGATCTTTTAATTCATTTTGCAAATAAATATATTACTTCAAAGTTACTTTGATGAAATACATTTCATGTAGTGCGCCAAAAAATAGTTTGTTGTGAAACAACAAAATAGATTAAGTAACTGAAAACTCATTTGTGTTTGATTTGCTTTTAATTTCTTTTTTGTATTTACCGCTTTCTTCAACACTCTAAAAAATATTGGCAAGTCATCTCTTTCCCTCTGTTACCACCACCAATACGTCAATTTATTTTGATTTTCCCAACTATTTTCGTTTCAAATTGAAATTTATGTCTCTCCCTTTATCTGTGTGTGTGTGTCCGTCCATTCAACACACAAATTAAATTCAATTACATTTACATAATATAAAAAATACCTGATTGATGAACAAATTAACAAAGTACAAAGCAAGACATAAATTATTATACATTTAAGTTTCCTAATGTGATTTTAATTAACATATCAAATAATCTCAATATTTTTTTTATTATTTAAATGGGAAATCCGAAGAATTATATAAGAAAAAAAAATAATGAAAAAAAACTAATTATAAGAGAAGCAATTAAAGCATTAAAAATGTATACTAGTTTTAAGTGAAATGTAATTGGCCTTAGGGCAGCATGTTGATGGATCATTGCACGCGAACTCTTGTCCGCAGATCCATCAGCTGAAACGATGAACAATCAATAAATAATAAATACATTTGCTTGTGTGACAATCGAAATTCCTCTAATTTGGTGACCATAATTTGCATACCTATTTCACCTGTATATGTATGTATATAACAAACCGCAAGACGCATTTTGTACACAATTCTAACTCTTCCCAAACAATATAAACTGATCTAATTTTTCGCCCATAATTTTGTAATTTTGCATGTTTCGCATGTGGTAATCCACATTCACACACATCCACAATCACATCAGATGAAATATTCACTCGAATCCAAATAAATAACAACAAAAACTACGATTAAATACAAAACCTCCTTTAAAATTTACAAATCGCCAATAAAAATGACAAAACGGCAATAAAATTGACAAAAAAATTCAACAAAATCGACAACAAATCGAAATAAAATGTAACAAAACAATCAATAAAATTAACATTACGTCCAATGAAATTGCCAGATTGAGAAAATAATTTTGACAATATAGGTAATAGAATTGCCAAATTAGAGAATAAATCTGACAAAATGGGTATAAAATTGACATTTTTTGCAATAAATTTTTACTCTGTATTAACTATTAACATATATTATTCTGCTTCTCTTTTGGAATGTGCATGCATTTTCGTTTTTCTCTTTCTCTGTCTCTGTTTCAAATAAACATTTATATTATAATCAATATCAAAATTTTGGCTACACGACCAATCAAAAACAATTAAAAATGAATAAATTTAATCCTATAAATTATAAATCAAAATATAACAACAACAACAACAACAAAAACAAAAACCTCAACCCACGAAATGTTGGTGAAATGATATCAATAAATTCGCATGATGCATCGACAAAAACTATGGTCAAATGCATTTAACGCGATTGACCTAATGCTGCCAATGGCCCATTCTTATTGCAAACTCTCACTCACTTACTCAATCTGCCACTCTCTTTTGCCTACCGAATTAATTATGAACACATCAACAATCGAATATTAATACCGACACATTGTCGCAATGAAATGCGACCGCAAATGCTCTTATCGTCAACAATTACAATTAATTACAATTCCTCATGTAAAATGCAACGGTTTGCCATTCATAATTCATCATTCACCCGTTAACTTCAATTGAAATTCGCGTCGACAATGTGCGCGCGCGCTCACGCCAAAAACACACAAACCCATTCCAAATCGAATAATTAAATTTTCTTATTGCATTCTCTCACTCCCTGTCGACTATTTTATGCAAATATGTATAAAATAAAACATTTCAACCATTCGGCTACTTAACACATAATTCATACGACCGACCATTTTTGTTTCCAACAACAACAACAACAAATTATACACGACCCCAAAATTAATAAACTAACAAAAAATATGTGATGGTTTTTATTGAATTTTTGCTTGGATTATTGTGTTTTGGTTTTTTTTTTATTAAAATTCCTCTCAATTTTGTTTCTGCCATACTAACGGTTACAAATGTTAAAATTGGATTCGGTTATGGTCAACTTCAATGTCTCCTCCTACACACTATTCTATTCTATCTGTCTGTGGTCTCTGT